CTGGCCTGCCTCTGGGGCTTGTTTTCCTTCCCTCCCCCAACCACCTCCCACCTTCTTTCTCTGCTTCTGATTTTCTAATTCTTCTTCTTCCTACTCCTGCTCTTCCTCCTCTTCCACCTCTCCTCCTTCTTTTTCCTCTTCCTCCTCCTTCTCCTTCTTCTTCTTCCTCTTCTTGTTTTTCTTCCCCTTCCTCCTCTTCTTTCTTCTTCTGATTTGTTTTCTTGACTCAGAAGGCTGAGCGATAGAAACAGAGGGAAAACAGACAGTGAGAGATCTCCTGGTCAGTCTTGTAGCATAACATGTTAAGTCTCTACTTCTGACACTTGCATCCCATATGGGTGCCTGTTCAAGGCCAGGCTGCTCCACTTCCCATCCTGCTGCCTGCCAATGTACCTGGGAAAGCAACAGAGGAACATGCAATTCCTTGGGCCCCTGCGCCTACGTGGGAGATCCAGAAGAAGCACCTGGCTTCTGGCATCAGCCTGGCCCAGACCTAGCTGTTTTTCTCATTTGGGGAGTGACCCAGCAGTTGGAGGATCTTTCCCTCTCTGTCTCTCCTCCTCTTTGTAAATCTGCAATTTATTAAACAAACATAAAAAAGAGATCCCATCTGTTCTTTGCACAAAGGACTACAATGATCAGAGCTGAGCCATGCCAACCAAGAGCCAGGAACTCTTCCTTGGTCTCCCATGTGGGTGGCAGATTTTCTTTCAAGATTTACTTGATTTCTTTGAAAGGCAAAGTAACAGAAAGAGAGAGACACAGATAGAAAGCTTGCTTGCTCTCTTTCTGCCTTATTAATAGCAACAAATTTCAAACTTGACTGGGCCAGTTACTTGGCGTGATTTCTAAGTATATACATCACTAGTGTCATCATGGGCCTATTGAGTCAGGACGCTCATAAGATGACCTTACCATGTGATCCTGAATTTGGCTGGGTATTGATTTCAAGCCACAATAATTGAATAAGCAGTACATAAGTTTCTTTACTGGCTACAGGAAATTGGTAATAAATTTGGAATTCTCAAATGCTAGTTTATTTATAAAATAGTGCAAAAAACCTTGCTGAGTAGATTGAGAATTAAATGTAAACTGCATACCAACTAATGGACCATTGTATAGCACATCACTATCATATTTAAGTATAAATAGAAATATTTGAATCCATGGCAGAATAAAGAGAAAGCATGTGGGTCATCACTGACTCAAGCAGGTCAAAGTCATGGCCTAAAGTGCCTGAATCCCATATGGGCGCCGGTACTAGTCCTACCTGCTCCTCTTCTAATCCAGCTCTCTGCTATATCCTGGGAAAGCATAGCAGATGGCCCAAGTCCTTGGGCCCCTGCACCCACGTGGGAGACTGGAAGAAGCTCCTGCCTCCTGATTAGCACAGCTCCTGCCATTACGGCCATCTGGGGAGTGAACCAGCAGATGAAAGACCTCTCTCTCTCTGTCTCTACCTCTCTGTGTAACTCTGTCTTTCAAATACATTAAAAAAAATCTTAAAAACAGAGATAACATAGACAATGCTATTTTCTGTCTGAATCAGACACACTCTGTGGCTGACATGTGCTTTCTTTGGTGATATTGGTTTCTCTTCCCAGTTCTCAGAACGCTATGGCCCTGTGTTCACTGTGTATCTGGGCATGAAGCCCACTGTGGTGCTGCATGGATACAAGGCAGTGAAGGAGGCCCTGGTTGATCTTGGAGAGGAGTTTGCTGGAAGAGGCCATTTTCCTATAGCTGAAAAAGTTAATAAAGGCCTTGGTAAGTGTGTGTGTGTGTGTAATAGTGGTAATGGGATGGAGTGGTTATAAACCAGAGACTTAAAAGCTCCTGAGACAGAACTTGGTCATCTGTGTGGCTGCCTCATGTCAGCTTCTTCCTACTTGCTGGATCTCCCTCCTTCCTAGTTTCTGTTTCTCATTCTGGCAGGAATTGTTTTCACCAATGCAAACACATGGAAGGAGATGCGGCGCTTCTCGCTCATGACCCTGCGTAATTTTGGGATGGGGAAGAGGAGCATTGAGGACCGAGTTCAAGAGGAGGCCCGCTGCCTGGTGGAGGAGCTGAGAAAAACCAATGGTGGGTGACCCTTACCCCACATCACTCACCTCACAGTGCTCTCCTGAATATGCTGCCCTGGGAAACCTGGAAGGGTGGGCAGAGCCTTCATCCTGAGGCCTGGTTGCCACTCTCATGGTGGGAGGGGCAGTTTGAAGCAGAGAAGTGGGGAGTTGTTTGGATCTGTGCTGTGTTTCCAGCCTGGTTCTGTGTCTTGTGCGGGTGTAAAAGTTCATTTAATACTCTTCTGTCCCAAGTCAGTTTCTATAATTTCTAATCAGAAATCATGAATATAAGTTTTGAGTGTAATTTCTGAAAAAATTTAAAGATGAATATTTTCCTCATAGCCTGAATGCTGCTACCTATCGCAGAACATTTCATGGTGGAAACATGGCAAATGCATATGGTGGCAATGACCCATCAGCCTCTTATGGGACAAGAACCGCCCCTCGTGGGCGTTCACATCTGCATGCTCAGCTTCACTGACATGTCTGAGGTTCCCCAGGCCCGTGCCTAGTGCTGGACACCAGTGGTGCTGTGTGTAGTTTTGTCTCTCTAGGTAATTCCTAACAAAGTTCCTGAACTTACAATTCTCTGTAATCACACTGTTTATAAAAATTGCTCTCACTTGTTGAGTCTACTTCTTCTACTGATTAATTTGAGTAAATGTATCCTGTAACATAATTCTCCACATATACAAGCACTGTTTTGTGAAATGATTTACTTAACAAAATTTCAACTGTTAATAGTAGCTGTTTATATTGGCTTTCCTTTGCAAAGTGTGGCCCTCTTTTCTGCTTTGCTTTCTCTCTGTGTTTATTAGATTTTGTTTGAGAAATTGTGACATATTTCCTCCCACCATCAGGTCTAGTGCTCCGAGATATGTTACTCAAAATGTGTCTGATTATCAGTCAATTTCCAAATTACCTTGTTTTTAATTATCTCTTCTAAGCAAAGAAAAGACTGAATATCAGGTTTTCTGTAGATAACACACACATATACACAAATACACAGTTCCCAAGGCTTTCCAAATTATCCTCTACCTCATTGGGGTAAAATAAAATTTTTAAAAAATGTTTTTATTTATTTTTTTTGACAGGCAGAGTGGACAGTGAGAGAGAGAGAAAGAGAGAGAGAGAGAAAGGTCTTCCTTTGCCGTTGGTTCACCCTCCAATGGCTGCCACGGCCAGTGTGCTGCGGCTGGTGAACCGCGCTGATCCCAAGGCAGGAGCCAGGTGCTTTTTTCCTGGTCTCCCATGGGGTGCAGGGCCCAAGCACTTGGACCATCCTCCACTGCACTCCCTGGTCACAGTAGAGAGCTGGTCTGGAAGAGGGGCAACCAGGACAGAATCTGGTGCCCCGACCAGGACTAGAACCCGGTGTGCCGGCTCCGTAAGGCGGAGGATTAGCTTATTGAGCTGCGGCGCTGGCATAAAATAAAATTTTGTCTGAAAACGTAGAGTAACATAAATGTTAAGAAAGCCTGACATATGTGCAAGTAATTCAGGTATCCTAATGGCCTGTATTCTACCATGCATTCGGAACAATTTTAATTAAGATGCCCTTATTGAGGTAGCTATGAATTTATGAGCTCTTTACCTATAAAGTTCAAGTTGATCATCTGACTCTAGCATTTGCACCATACAAATCTGCCAATTAAAGTGAAAATCTGTCCTGGATTTTCATTTGTTTATCTGTAAAATGAGAGACTTGGCTTAACCTCTGGGTAAATTTTAAATTTTATTAAAACATCTTTTGATATTTGGTATAGTTGTAGAGAACAATATCCTGGGATCTACTAAAGGTCAGCTTTGCTCAAGTATGTTAAATATGTAAAGCAGTTACAGATATTGGCTGTCCACTTCTCAAGGAAATTGACTGTTTTCATTTAACATTAAAACTCATGATAAAGAAGACGCCAATTATTTTTTGCTTCATCTAACTAGGATGTATGCTTGAAATAAAATAATATAACTCTCATTCTACTCCTTTACGCAAACGAATCCTTCCTAAACTTATTATTTCTTTACTTATTTTTCAATGTTTTTCTTATAAAATGAAAATTATATAGACACACACACATACATACATGCACACACACATACATACATGCACACACACAAACACAGACACAGAGAGAGAGAGAGAGAGATCTCATCTACTAGTACACTCCCCAGATTCCCACATAGCCAGGCCTATAATTGAGCCAGATGTGGGTACTCACTAGGTCTCCCACTTGAGTTTCATGAACTCAGCCATCACCTGCTGCCTCCAAGAGTCTGAAATATCAGGAAGTGGAGTTAGGAGTGGGGGCTAGTGTTGAACCCAGCACTCCTCTATCTGGAATGCAAATCATCTTAAGGGCATCATAAGCAGTAGGCCAATGACTTGCTTCATTTTCTCATTTTTGTATTTTCTCATATTGCATGGATGCCTTCAGCTTTTAAAATGTTTTTTTTTTTTTAATTCGTGAATTTACCCACAATTTGTCTCTATAGTTCCTCAATACTGGTTCAGCACAGCATTTTCATTGTGACTATTCTATTCATTATTTTATCTATAAGAAGTTTCCTGGCCCACATTATTTTCTGCTTGCCATTTCAGTGCTTTATTGTCTACAGACATTGCACAGGTAACTGACTCTAGTTTGAAAACGTGAATGACTAAGTTTAAAGAAGTTTTTATTTTCTTTACAAATAGCAGATCTCTGTGTAACAACAGTGCTATAAAAACAGTGAATGTGCCAGCTAGGTTGTAATGGTCAGCTCAGGCTTACAGTAAAGTGATGTGTTGATTGCATGTGTGTCACTTATTTTTACTGTCAAAGGAATTTGTAGGGAAGACATTGCTTAAAATTTCTAAATTACCATGGACAAAAGTAACAAGGTTCATATCTATATTTTAATGGTGTTTTAAAATTGTTTTCAATTCTTCAGCCTTACCCTGTGATCCCACCTTTATCCTGGGCTGTGCTCCCTGCAATGTGATCTGCTCCGTTATTTTCCATAATCGCTTTGATTATAAAGATGAGGAGTTTCTTAAACTGATGGAAAGATTAAATGAAAATATTAGGATTCTGAGCTCTCCATGGTTGCAGGTGAGAGTGAGATCTTTTGTTCCTGAGAAACCATTTATGCTCCTTTATCTGACAGGTGCAAATTTCCACATGGACCAAGATGTGAAGAGAATGTTCAGACAGCACAGTCCAAAGCACAGCTGAAGTCACTGAACACTGTGAAAGATGATGGAAACTTGGGCTGGTGCTGTGGCATAGCGGGTAACGCCACTGCCTGCAGTGCCGGCATCCCATATGGGCGCCAGTTCAGGTCCTGGTTGCTCTGCTTCCAATCCAGCTCTCTGCTATTGCCTGGGAGAGGATGGCCCATGTTCTTGGGCTCCTGCACCCTGGTGTGAGACCAAGAGGAAGCTCCCGGCTCCTGGCTTAGGATCAGCGCCGCTAGGACCCTTGCAGCCAGCTGTTGGAGTGAACCAGTGGATAGAAGACCTTTCTGTCTCTGCCTCTCCTTCTCTCTCTGAGTAACTCTGACTTTCAAATAAATAAATAAATCTTTTTTTTTAAAAAAAGAAAGATAATTGAAACTTTTATTTACACACAGGAAAATGAGTGTCCAAATATTGGGCTGGTGGTTATGTCCATTATCTTCTTGTCCAGTGATTTTTCCACTAAACTCCAAGCCCTATTTCTATGGAGCCACTTCGATGACTAGACAAAGGATGTCTTTGTCAATCAATGGACATCCATGTCATTTTTTTCTTATAATATTTATTTATTTGAAAGGCAGGATTACAGAGAAAGTGAGAGAGAGAGAGAGAGAGAGAAACAGAGAGAGAGAGAGAGAGAGAGAGATAATTCTTCCATCTGCTGGTTCACGTTCTGAATGCCCCAAAAACCAGGGTTAGCCCAGGCAGCTGCGAGGAACCAGGAACTTACATGCTTGAGCCATCAGAGGTTGTCTCTCAGGCCCAGTAGCAAGAAGTGGAGTAGCTGTGACTCGACGGAGCACACAATGTAGGTCGCTGGCATTCCAAGCAGTGCTTTACCTGCTGGACCACAATGCCCTGATTTTCTATTATATTTCAAATTTTTTATCTAAAGATTTATGGAAAAAATGAGATTGATAACAGGCAGATATTACACTATAAAATTATGTGTGCCACTAGGAAATGACTTTCATCTTTGATTTTGAATTCTCTCCCCAAATATTTCTATAAGCATATGGAACTACCATATATTTAAATAAAAGTTTCTCCCTGAAAATGGCAACCATATTTTATTCATATTTATAGCTGTAATTCCTAAGTAGGGGTGCAAATATATATATATATATATGTGTATATATAAATGTATATATAATTCAACAAATTATTGTTTTCTGTTTTAGGTCTACAATAATTTCCCTGCTCTCCTTGATTATTTCCCAGGAATTCATAAGACCTTACTAAAAAATGCTGATTATACAAAAAATTTTATTATGGAGAAAGTGAAAGAACATCAAAAACTCCTGGATGTTAACAATCCTCGGGATTTTATTGATTGTTTCTTGATCAAAATGGAGAAGGTAAATTGTTCACAACAGTTCATTATTTGATTTCTTTTGTATTTTGAGGTTCAGCCAAATATTCTGTATAAACAATGGACGTTAAAATGGTCAGGCTATTTTGACAAGCACTTAAATATCTATTGTAGGAATGAGCTTTTAGTATCCTGAAAAATATTAAGGGATTTCACATAAAGTTTGCAGAAATAAAGAATTAAAAGATAAGTTTGCTTTAGTCTATAAAATGAAGCTTCTGGTTTTTAAAAATAATATACATTTCCAAAAATGTTTTTAAAGACACAGAATATAAAATTAAATTGTTAAATGGTTAGAATACCTGGGCCTTGTTCTTTAAATGAAAATAATCTACCCAAGGAGAAATATAATGCACATCTCAGGTGAATTACAAAGAATTAAAAATCACTGACTATCATGCTGTAATGTGAAGTGACATCATCACTGAGCAAGTGTCAGGGAGAGGGGCTTAGCCTGGGTGGGATTTGCGCATATCCTGCACATTGAAGGAGGTCTTTTGAAGTTCGCAGTTCAGGACAGGAGAGAGAATTTCAGGTGGAGTGAGTGGTGTGTGTGGAGGTGTTCAGTGTGCAGTGGGAAAGAGTACGTGGAAGGAAGACAAAGACTTAGCTCCCTGTAACACAGTAAGTTGTACATATGTGGAGAATAGATTGGTGTCTATGTGGCAACCTGTAGGTGTGAATCACCTTGTCACTGCACTGTTTGTTGACAATGTCCCCTATCGCATTACCTTGGCACCCTGGCCAAAGGTCAGTTGGACATAAATCTAAGTTTGTTTGTGGGCTGTCAACTCCACTGCATTGACCTTTGGGTCTGTCATCATACCTGAGTACCAACTTGAAGTCTGAATTACTGTAGTTTTCAAGTAAAGAAGTGTGAGACCTTTAAGGTAGTTGTTCTTCAAAACTAATTTGGCTATCTTATGTTCCTTGAATTTCTATATAAATTTAGGGTAGACTTGTAAATTTCTATTAAGACTCAGTGAATATTTGGTGGGATTGCATTAAATCCATAGATCTTTTCAATTATTTTATATAAAACTTGAGGGAAAATTCACATGAATATATGTTCATCAGGGATATTGGTCTATAGTTATTTTTCCTGTTGTATCTTTTTCTAGTTTAATAGTCAAGATGATGTTGGCTTCATAGATGAATTTTGGGAAGATTCCCTAACTTTCAATAGTTTTGAATAGCTTGAGAGAATTGGAATTAGTTCATCTTTAAATGTCTAGTAGAATTCAGCAGTGTATCCATCCAGTCCTAGGCTTTTCTTTGCTTGGGAGGGTCTTTATTACTGATTCAATCTCTGCTGTGGCCACTGGCATTTTTAGGTTTTCCATATCTTCATGGCTCAATTTTGATGGATTGTATGTCTCCAGGAATCTACCCATTCCTTATAGGTTTCCTGATTTGTAAGCATGCAGCTCTTTTTAGTAACTACTGATTATTCTTTTTATTTCCTTTGTCATCTCTGATTTTGTTATTTGAGTTATTTTTTTTGATTAGTTGAACCAATTGCATATGAATTTTATTTCTTCATAAAATAGGTTCTTCATTTCACTGATCTTTAGAATTTTATTTTGGATCATTTTATTTGTTTCTTATCTAATATTAATTTGCTCTTTCCTCCTACTAATTTGGGGTTTAGTTTGTTGCTATTTTGTTAGGTTCTTGTTATGTATTGATAGCTCATGTACTTGGGGCCTTTCCAATTTCTTGATGTAGGCACCAATTGCTATAAACTTTCCTCTTAATAGTACTTTGCTGTACCCCGTAGTTTTGATATGTTGTATTTTCTTCTTCATTCATTTCCAGAAATTTTTTAAATTTCTATGTGATTTCTTCTATGACGCCCTGCTCATTTAGGAGCATGTCATTCAGTCTCCATGTGTTTGCATAAGCTCTTGAGATTCTTGTGTTGTTCATTTCCAGCTTCATTCCATTTGAGGTCAGAGATGATGTATGGCATGATTTCAAAATTTTCTGACACTTGCTTTATGGCCTAGCATGTTGTCTATCCTAGAGAAGGTTCAGTGCACTGGAGAGAAGAATGTGCATTCTCGAGCTGTGGGATGAAAAGTTCTGTAAATATCAGTTAGTTCCATTTGGTTCCTGGTTTCCCATGGGGTGCAGCGCCCAAGCACTTGGGCCATCCTCCACTCCCCTCCTGGGCTACAACAGAGAGCTGGACTGGAAGAGGGGCAACTGGGACAGAATCTGGCGCCCCAACCGGGACTAGAACCTGGTGTGCCGGCACCTCAAGGCAGAGGATTAGCCTATTAGGCTGCAGCACCAGCCCTGAATTGATCCTTTAATCCTTACCTAGTGCTCTTCTGTCCCTTTAACAGTTTTTATGTTAAAGTCTATTTTTCTGATATTAGAGTGGGTACCCCGGCTTTTTTTTTTTGCTTTCCATTAACATGGTATATATTTTTCCATCCTTTCACTTGCAGTCTGCATGTGTCTTTGTTATTGAGGTGTGTTTCTGGTAGGCAGCAAATAGATTGGTCTTGTTATTTAATCCATTCAGCCCATCTGTATCTTTTAACTGGAGTGCTGAGGCCATTAATATTCAAGTTACTACTGAGAAGTAATGTCTTGGCCCTGCCGTTTTTCCATCAATACTCCTGTTGTTTACGTGAATTTCCTTCTTAGTTTTACTGGGACATTTTCTCCTTCACATTCCTTCATAAATATGGCTATTTTTCTGTGTTTCTCTGCATAGCTCATCCTTAAGCATCTTTTGTATATTCAAAATGACACTCACACTCTCTCAACCAGTCAGGCGATGTTGTGGGGTATATTGGGAGGGAGGAAGAAATGTGCACCCTTTTGTTCTGCTACATTAGCAGGTATTGTGTTCATGACAGGCCACTGGGCCAGACTCACACCAGACTGTATCTCCACAGTTGTATGGTCAGAAGCTTGGGCTGCTGCAGTCTGATCTCACCTCACGTTCCAAAGCTGTCGTTTTTCTAGGCTCACAGCTGCTGAGGTCCTGTGTTATGTCCATGCCCGTGCTATGTGTCCGTGCCCTCCACGTAGATCTATGTGTCCATCTTTTATCTGCAGACTTTTCTACAACAGTTTTCTTCCTAACTCTGCCCTGGAACGTAGTACCTTCACTTTTTTTTTCAACTATTTTTCCATCTTTCCCTAGAATAGTGCCCTAAGCTCCCTTTCTATTCTGCCAACTTGAGCTTTACTGCAAATGCTTTTTAAAAAATCTGTTGAGATGATTTTTTTCACATTCTTATAATGTGTTTTTCAACATTCATTGCTTTTCTTTAAACCACCTGTGCATTTCTTGGGTAAAATCAATTTGATCAGAATGTGCAATCCATAAAGAGATAAAGTGTGGTAATGAACTAATTATTTTAAGAGCAGCAACATTTGGTGGCATTAAGCACAATCAGTTTGTTTTGTAACTATCACCACCATACATACCAGAATTATTTTATTCTGCAAAACAGAAACTTCATATCTATTAAATAATGAGTTCCTGCTCCCCATTCCCTGCCAAACACCATATTACCTACTTTCTTTAAAAGATTTATTTATTTTACGTGAAAGTCAGAGTTACAGAGAGAGAAGGAGAGGCAGAGAGATAAAGAGGTTTTCCATCCACTGGTTCACTCCCCAACTGGCCATAATGGCCAGAGCTACGCTGATCCAAAGCCAGGAACCAGGAGCTTCTTCTGTGTCTCCATGCTGGAGATGGCTTGGGCTATCTTCTGCTGCTTTCCCGGGCCATCGCAGAGAGCTGGATAAGAAGTGGAACAGCCAGGACTCAAACAGGTGCCCATATGGGATGCTGGTACTGCAGGTGGTGCCTTTACCCACTACGCCACAGCGCTGGCCTCTTTTTTTTTTTTTTTTTTTTTAAGACAGTCTACTTTCTGTCTCCTGGAATTTGCTGTTCTAAGTACCTGTAACTGGAAACACACAATGTTTCTCCTGCTGTGACTGGCTTTTCCTACTTGGCATGATGTTGTTGTTATTACACATCTTTTTTTTTTTTTGTATTATAACCAGTAACACATATTTATAATTCTTCTATAAGAATTTTTATTTAAAATCACATAGAAACTAAAACACTTATATTAAAACATAAAATATTAATATTTACCATTATCTGTATAGTTGTTCTTTTTAAATTTATTTTTTAAATATTGATCTATTTATTTGAAAGGCAGAGTTACAGACAGAGAGAGGCAGAGACACACAGAGAGAGAGAGAGAGAGAGAGATCTTCCATCTGCTGGCTCAATTCCCAAATGACTGTAATATTCAGAGCTGGGCCAATCCAAAGCAGGGAGTCAGGAGCTTCTTCTGGGACTCAAAAAGGGACAGGGGCACAAGCACATGTGCCAACTTCCATACTTTCCCACGTGCATTAGTTGGGAGCTGGATCAGCACCCGCGTGGAGACCTGGAAGAAGCTCCTGGTTCCCGGCTTCCGATCAGTTCAGCTCTGGTCATTGCGGCCAATTGGGGAGTGAACCAGTGGATGGAAGACCTCTCTCTCTCTGCCTCTGCTCCTCTCTCTGTATAACTCTGATTTTCTAGTAAAAATAAATGAATCTTGTAGGTTCCTTTCCATCAGGCTCACGTACAGCCCCACAGTGCTGCACTGCAGTTAACACACAATTATTCTTAGGTGTTTAAATTTTAACTGAAAAGTGATCCCTGTTAGGAATTTGGAAAACATCATGCTGAGTGAAATAAGCCAATCCCAAAGGGACAAATACCACTTGTTCTCCCTGATAGGGGACAACTTACTGAGCACCAAAAAGGAAACCTGTTAAAGTGAAATGAACACTATGAGAAACGGTGACTTGATCAGCCCTTGCCCTGACTGTTGATGAACAACTTAATATGTTATCCCTCTTAGTATTTTTTTTTTGTTTGCTCTACTTAATACTTTTGGTTGATTACTGTAATCAATACACAATTCTTCTTAAGTGCTGAAACTTAACTGAAAAGTGATCACTGTTAAATATAAGAGTGGGAATAAGAGAGGGAAGAGATGTACAATTTGGGACATGCTCAAGCTGACTTACCTCAAACGGTAGAGTTAGAAACATCCCAGGGGATTCCAATTCAATCCCATCAAGGTGGCATGTACCAATGCCATCTCACTAGTCCCAGTGATCAATTTCTGTTCACAACTGATCATAATGAAAGGACTAAGAGTCAAAGGGATCACATGAAGAAGTCTAGTAACTGCTAATACTAACTGATGGAATAAATAAAGGGGAGAGTGATCCAACATGGGAAGCGAGATACACAGCAGACTCATAGAATGGCAGATGTCCTAAACAGCACTCTGGCCTCAGAATCAGCCCTTAAGGCATGCAGATCTGGCTGAAAAGCCCATGAGAGTATTTCAGGCATGGAAAGCCAAGATACTGTGGAAAAAAAAAAAATACCTAAATGAAAGATCTCCGCGGGTGAGATCCCAGTGGAAAGAACGGGTCATCAAAGAAGGAGGTACCTTTCTCTGAAGGGAGGAGAGAACTTCCACTTTGACCATGGCCTTGTCTAAATATGATCAGAGTCAGTGAACTCAGGGGGCTTCCATAGCCTTGGCAGCTCATGACAAGAGCCTAGGGTGATTACTGATGCCATAAACAAGAGTGTCAATTTGTTAAGTCAACAACAGGAGTCACTGTGCAATACTCCTCATGTAGGATCTTTGTCCTTAGTGTGCTGTACATTGAGATTTAATGCTATAACTAGTACTCAAACAGTATTTTTACTTTATGTTTCTGTGTGGGAGCAAACTGTTGAAATCTTTACTTGATGTATGCTAAACTGATTTTCTGTATATAAAGAGAATTGAAAATGAATCTTGATGTGAATGTAAGGGGAGAGGGAGTGGAAAAGGGGAGGGTTGCGGGTGGGAGGGACGTTATGGGGGGAAGCCATTGTAATCCATAAGCTGTACTTTGGAAATTTATATTCATTAAATAAAAGTTAAAAAAATAAAAAAAATGAATCTTTAAAAAAAAACAGAAGTGGAGCAGCCGATACAAGAACAGGTGCCCATATGTGATGCCCCTGCAAGCAGTGGCTTACCTGCTGCACCACAGCCAACCCAGTTAAGTAAACTCCTAACAGGAATACCCATAACTTAATGTGCCTTTTACTTCAGAGGTTCTCTTTGTTTTTCCACCTGTATTTTCTTCCTCATATTTGGTACATTCTACTTTTTCACACATATTTTTGAACTGTATTTCATTCTTTGTATATAATTTTCTTCAGCTCTTTGAACTTAGTAAAATTTATCTTAATGATTTCATCATAAGTCCAAAGTCTTTGTTTCCTCAGGAATGACTTCTGTAAAATCATTTAAAAATTATAATGGACAATATTTTTTGCTTCTTTGTGTCCATGTAGTTTTTTGTTGAAAATGGACATTTAATAAATCATAACGTGACAAATCTGGAAATGAGACTTTCTGCCTTGCACAAATTGTCATTTGTCCTTGAGAAAGCCTTCAGCTATCTGCTTATTTAGAATTTTTTATAAATTGCGTTAGCAAGGTTATAGTTCCTGTCATGTGATCACTTGACTCTTGTTCTATTTTCTCTGCTATCAGTCAGTGATGAGACACAGACTTCGTTAAAATCTTGGGTCTAGTAAGAATAGAAAAAATGATAAGTCATTCGCTTCTTTAAATTCCTCACTTAATGCCCTGGAGAAGTTGTTGGACCACATGGGATTGAAATTCCCCTTGCCCAGTCTGGGACCAGAAAACCACACAGCAGCACAGGACACTGGCCCCAAAGTTGCCTGCCACAGAGCTGAGGTACAACGTATGTTAGCCTCTATTTATACATGAGACACCAAAGTTCCCTGAAACTGAGCAGACAAGTTCTTCATCAAGCACTAGCCTGAAGGCTGCAAGTGTCTGACGAGCATCCAGAGTCCTGAAATACTTGCCCCAGACAGATTCTTCAAGGTCAGTGATTTCCTTTTCCTGCAGGGACTGATTCCTGAACTTCCTGATCTAGCATGATTGCGACATTGCTCCAGAATTGCCATCATAGCAGTATCACTGCTGTATGGTATGGAAAGTCTACCCCTTGGCTATTGTTTCATGGAGTGTAGCTTAATTATGACAGGTTATGTGCTAGTACCCAGTGAATCTCAAATCCACTTATAAAGGAGGAAATGTTAGTGGTGGTTTGTGAGCACACTGCTTGTCTTACTGATTCAAGAGAAATTATAACTTGATGAACTTAGCAATCCCTCTGAAGGTGGGATTAGCAATCGATGTGAGTGTCTGTGTGTAGCAACTTCATGTTTTGAGAGGATTTAGTTAATTTTCTGGGTGTTGATTATATAACCCTGACATGCACAGGTCATTTCGATATTATCAAAACTTCATTACTATAATGCCTATTTAGGGACTGGTTAGAAAACTATAAATGCAAACATAAATGATCTCTTGTCCTCAATATTTAAAATTTTGTCCTTCTTGTCAGTTCTCTGTCACGCAATCTTTTTGGTCCTTACCAAATGCACATGTCCTTTTCAATGGCTTACTCCCTCCTAACTCACAGTGTGTGAGAACTCCATGTAATTAGTCCCTTAGCTCTGGCATCAGCACAACTTCTGATCTCTCCTTCGTCCGTGGGCACAGTGAACTCTCAGATCTGACTTCTTGACCGCAGCATCTCTTCACCTTGTACCTCCAATTCATTCCTGCGCGTATCCCCAGTCCTTCTTGCTGGTTGCCTCCCTTCTGGACACAGTGGTGCTGACCTCATCTTTTCTTGAGGAACCCAATGTCATCTAGGTTTTGCAGCCCTACCAGCTTTGCACAATTTTAACTTCTTCATGAACCTGCATGTATAATTGATTCCATGTCAAGTTTTGGCAGAAGACCACATTGTGAACTCTTTATTGGGCATGTAATACATTTCATGGTATGCTCCTAACTTACTAATAGATTTATGTATTATTGACTACATTTTCTTATGTATAACCAAAAGAAAATGTAGTTAATACTGCTTAGCAAATGGTTCATTTACATCGAATACAAGGTGACTAAATTCAGCCAATCTGGCCATAATAGATCACTAAGCATTAGAGTAGGGTGACCTCCATTTTCCTTGCCATATTTAGCACATAGACCCTCATTTTCATGATTAAATCCTCCTCTTCCAAGATGATGCCATTTTGCAACAATGTTTCAAGTAAGAAGAAGGAAATAGAGGCTGTGGTATCACTAGGCTTCTGCTGATATTCTTTTGTGAAAGAAATATTCATGACACCTCACTCAAGAGTCTCATAATGGAATGTTTAGGCAGATGAGAAGTTATGGTATAGTCTGAAGTTTGGGGGCACCGTATCCATAGAGTCCACATATCCTGCAGAATTTTTCTAATATTGCACTTTCAGTTTTCCCTGTTAGCTATCTTTTAAAATAATTGTGTTATTTTGGATTTTGTGTAATAATATATGCTGGCAAGTAATTTATCAAATTGCATCAAATCACTCCTAGGAAAATAATTTGGAGTTCACTCTTGGAAGCTTGGTAATCGCTGTGTTTGATTTGTTTGGAGCTGGGACTGAGACAACGAGCACAACGCTGAGATACTCCCTCCTGCTCCTGCTGAAGCACCCCGAGGTCGCAGGTATGACTCAGGGAGGAGCAAACTGCATTCAGGAGAAAAGCTTGGGAGCCATGGCTACTGTCCTCTGCCTTGTTTGTGCTAGAGGAGTCTCACTGTTTAAAAACTTCTGTGCCAACAACTGTACTCTGTGCAGTGTAGTGATCAGAATAAAACAGGCCAACGTTGTACAATGCAGGAGGAGATCCTAGAGCAGTGAAGACAGCCTGGCATGAGGAAGAGCAGTGATGTTCGGGGGCTGTGCTGGATCTCATGGGAGTGATGTGTGGCAGGCACAGCATGGCATTTTCTTTCATAACAAAAAGACCCCATTGAGGAGTAGGTATAGTCTTGCTGCTACCTTTCCTCATTCTGACAATTCAGTGCTCTGATGCAGAGAAAAGGACAAGGAAGCTTTTCTTACTGAAAACCAACTTGAAATTCAGTGAGGCTTCATGAGGTAACTCCAGTCTGGGAGGTATTCAAAAAGTTTAGATGCATAAGACAGGTGTTTGTGGGAAGCAGACCGGACTAGACTGAGTTACTGGAATTAAGACTTATTCTATGCATCTGCTCTCCCACAATATGGCGCTGGGAGAGAAGTAAACAGCTTCCGCACAGCTGCCTCCAGTTCAACCAATAAACTGTAGGACTTGTTCCTGATTGGAGGAGAGCAGCGTATTCGGCGTGTGGGCAGCCGAGTTGGGATTGGCGGAGGAGGACTATAAAGGAGGAGAGAGACGGCATGCACCAGGAACATCTATGGGGAACATCTAAGGGAACCCGTGCAGCCCCCGAGAAGAGCCGGCCGGCGGTGTGCCGCTCCCCTGCGGAAGTGGGGAATGCGGCCAGGGGGAACTGCCCTTCCACGGAGGTGGAAGGGATAGTAGCCAACCCGGGAAGAACCAGCAGCAAACCCGGGGAGGGCCGAGCAGACGAAAGAACAGCGCAGGGTCCTGTGTCGTTCCTCCACGAAGAGGGGGAGTGACAGTGTTTCCTTTCAGTCAGAAGATGCACCCAAAGTAATGTTATTACAACAGAAGTCTATTGCCATAAAGCTAGCATTGGATAAAACAAGAAATTGGAGAAGTGGTATAAATAATTTTATATTTTTTGGACAAATGTATTTAGAACGTTAGCTGGAAGAAGTTTAGTTTTGTAGAAGTACTAATAATCTGAAGTTTCCCAATGACCAGAGAATTATTACTAGGTATTTGAAAAATCTATCTGAGTATCAGGAAATACTTCTTACCAGGAGATAGAAAATTGTGAAGTAAAAAATGATGACAAAGTTAATAATGTCAAAGAAAGTAATAAAAGCTAAAGATGAAGAATTGCCTTACTAGGAAACTATGCTTATGTGCTCAGAACGATGAAAAAATGAATGTTGATATAATCAAAATGTCTGATATAAATATATCCTGCTAAATGGAGGGACTGCTGTGTGTGCCTGTCATTGTGGGCATGTGTGTATGTGGGCTAGAGATGCAGATGAAAATTCTCATCTGTCTTACAAGGAAATAATTAAATAAGTGTTAAAAATGGTAATAAAGAAATAGACATTTAAAGAAACATGATTATAAATTGCAGGGATGCTCAAAATGGCTACTTTGGGGGAGTAGGAAGATGGTAAGATTAACATTGCAAATGAACACATATTCCAAAACCTGCAAATACATTTAGAGACTCACAAAAGATAAAATAACACATTTCCAAACACACCCTCCCTTCACACATCTGTTTTAACATGATTTAAGTCCCATGCATTTTCAAATTTAGATTTGATTTCTATTTTCCTTTCTGCCAGGACAGTGTTTTCTTGATTTAACTATGTTCTGATTTTTGAGAGAATTTTATTACTTCTATTTACGCTAATTTCATCTGTGAATTTTTATGGCCTGTATATACCAATATATCATAATGTTAGATGTAGGAGAGTACACTGTATCTTTTTGTGGTAACTCATTTTATATTTCGAGGTGTCTTTCTTGGCCTGTAGCTTATAATTCTGTTGTGACATCTTCAATAAGGTTCATGAAACCCTAAATTGTTATGACAGCTGTGCCAATTTTCTCATTTCCCCCGTTATTTCTTACTTATGTCTTATCAGCTAGGGTCCAGGAGGAGATTGAGCGTGTGATTGGCAGACACCGGAGCCCCTGCATGCAGGACAGGAGCCACATGCCCTACACGGATGCTGTGATACATGAGATCCAGAGATTCATTGACCTCCTTCCCACTAACCTGCCCCATGCAGTGACCCGAGATGTTAGATTCAGAAACTACTTTATCCCTAAGGTAATCTTGTTTCTTTTACATTGACCCTCAGTGCTCTTAAGCTTCTTACCCACAGTGTGGTTCCAGCCCTGCCCATTTTTAAGCTAAATATGCTTAAACTGAAACAATACAGAAGAATATTTTTGATGCATGAAAATTACATGAAACATAAATTTTGACTTCAATAAAAACTGGAACAAGAATCCTCATTCATTTACACATTGTCTATGACTGTTTCCATTCTCTAAGGGCAGAAAGAGAAAGCCATGGCCTGGAAAGTTGGACAGATTTGCTTTTTGGTTCTAGTCCCTGTCGGGGCGCCAGATTCTGTCCCGGTTGCTCCTCTTCTAGTCCAGCTCTCTGCTGTGGCCCGGGAATGCGGTGGAGGATGGGCCAGGTCCTTGGGCCCTGCACCCCATGGGAGACCAGGAGGAAGCACCTGGCTCCTGGAGCCTGGCTCCAGCACTTTGGCTTTAGTGGCCATTTGGGAGCTGAACCAACGGAAGGAAGACCTTTCTCTCTCTCTCTATCTCTCTCTCACTAACTCTGCTGGTCAAAAAGAAAGAAAGAAACTACTGGAAAGTCCCTGTGTGTGGCATCTTGATGGACTCAGTGCTGTTTCCCTCAGATCTTGGTGTGTGGCAGTGGGTGTCTGCCAATTGTTTTGGCTCCTCCTAGGTGGTTACATTTCCAAATGAATGTTAAAGGTGTCAGTTTGTCAATTTCCCTGTTTTTCAGGGAAAGCAAGTAAGTGCTTGGTGTATTCTCTGAAACTTAGGTGAGGTAGGGGAATACCCTGAGTTAGGATTAAACTGTAGTAAAGATCTCCCTCATTTTAAACATGAGCACAAACAAACTGCCACAATGAGAAATGGTCAGAGGTTTTATACTTGCTACTGAACCCACGTGCTCACATGGTCAAAAGCTGTCACAGGGCATTTTAGCAAAATCACTGCCACCGCTCATCTCTGCTTATTACTTGGTCTGTGTGGCTGGGGATGTCACTGCTCTTCCTGAGACTTGGGCTTCCTCTTTTATTGATCAAAAATTGTCCTAAGTGATTTCCACTTTTTTGTTTTTTACCCAGCACAGTGACTTCTTCATACTTGGATTATCTGTTTCTGTTTTATCCAGGGTACAGACATCATAACATCACTGACATCCGTGCTACATGATGAAAAAGCATTTCCTAACCCAAAGGTATTTGACCCTGGGCACTTTCTGGATGAGAGTGGCAACTTTAAGAAGAGTGACTACTTCATGCCTTTCTCAGCAGGTAAAAAATTTGTTTCCATGGAATTTCAGAGACGATAACTCTTTTAATTCAAATTTTTGTTATATAGAGTGAACAAATTTCATGTATTCCACATGTACAGATGTAAGAGCATAATACTATCCACCATACACTGCATCCCTCCCACACTCCCACCCTCCCTCCTCTTTCCTTCTTTTTTCTTTTCCTTTGTACACTGATATACTTTCAGTTTGTTTTATGTTCACAAGTATAACCCTCAAATAAATAAAGAATTCAACCAGTGGTAAGTAGAAAAACCTTGCTTCCTCAAGAGTATTGATAAGGGCATTAACCATAATCAAATCTTAAATGTGATTTTGTTCATATACATTACATTTTTTTGAACTCTGTCAACACCTATCAGGGAAAACATATGATATTTGTCTTTTTGGGACTGGCCTATTTCACCAAGCATAAGGTTTCTAGCTGTAAAAGACAGGATTTTTGTTGATGTGTATTCCACTGTGTGTATATAATCACAGTTTCTTCATCCAGTCATTAGGTGATGGATAGATGAGTTCAGTCTATAACATCCACTATGAATCAAGGTAAAATAAACAATGGGAATTTCTTATGTTTCCATATGAATTTTAGCTTCATTTTTTCCTAGATCTGAAAAGAATGCATTGTTATTTTGCAAAATGTTTGGGATAGTATGCACATTTATGATATTACACCTTACAATAGAAGAAAATGAAAGATTTTTTCATTTGTTGTGTCTTTTTCTATTTTTACTTAATTTTTAAAATTTTCATTATAGAGATCTTTCATACCCCTGGTTACATTTACTCCAAGATATTTAATTTTTTCTAGCTATTGTCAGTGATGGTAATCTTACAATTTCTTTCTTAACCATGGCATTGTCTTTGTATCCAAATATTACTAATTTTCATGTGTTGATTTTATATCCTGCAAACTCTCTTATGAGTTCCAGTAGTCCCTTAGTTCCCTTAATTATAGGATCATGACATCTGCAAACAGGGAGAATTTGACTTCCTGCTTTCTGATTTGTATCTCTTTGATTTCTTTATTGCCCAATAGCTATGACAAAATTTCAGCAACTGTATTGAATAGTAATGGTAAAAGTAGACATCCTTGTCTGGTTCCACATTTTAATGGAAATGCTTCCAATTTTTCCCCATTCAGTATGATGCTGGCTGTAGGTTCGTCATTATATTTATACAAATGAATGACCCTTCTATACACATTTTGTTTAAAGTTTTGATCATGAAATGGGGCTGTATATTATCAAAGGATTGCACCTATTGAGTTAATCATATGGTTTTTATTCTACAATTGTTAATATGATGCATTACATTTATTGAATTGCATATATTGAACTATGTCTGCACACCAGAGTACAATCTCACTTGGTTCAGTTGAATACTATTTCTAAAATGTTGTTGGATTTGATTAACTGGTATTCGGCTGAGAATTCTTGTTGAATGCTCATTTTGGTGTCTAGTTCTCAATCTTTGCTGTATCTTTCGCTGGTTTTGGAACTAGCTAACTTTCTGGTATCATGGTACCTTCTCTGGAATTGGTAAATTCCTCTTTGTACAGGATCAGGAGCACCACTCCCAATGTCCATGAACTTTCTCTGCTCACAATACATCCTCATTATTGACAAGGTTCCTGAGGCTCTGGGTTGTTGACACATTCCTTCCACCCTGAGAAATCTAAACTATAGGTTGATTGAATTCTTCCTCTAGATGCAGTCTCATGGTTCCTAAGATCTCTACCTAGAAGGTAAAACTGAGAAGAGTTTCATCACACACCACGATAAACACGTTAACTCCACAACTTCACTGAAATTCTTCTATGTGGTGTCTCTCACCCTGCAGAGAGTTGTCTGGAAATGAAAGTATGAGCAAGCACAGAACAGCACTCAAAGACCTCACCCAAATTAGCGACTAGTTGAGTAAAGACCATCAGATTCCACTTTTTTTAGTTCTGTGGAGAGGGATGCATATTCTGCAGGGGAGATGGAGGAAGCACGTGGAGAGAATGTATCTGATTCTTCCTCTCTCATGCCCAGTGTAAGGCACGGCATGTAGTACCCAACATTCTAAAAGTAAATATGGCCAGCACCACGGCTCAATATGATAATCCTCCGCTTGCAGCAATTGCACCCCAGGTTCTAGTCCCAGTTGGGGCACCAGATTTTGTCCTGGTTGCCCCTCTTCCAGGCCAGCTCTCTGCTATGGCCCGGGAGTGCAGTGGAGGATGGCCCAAGTGCTTGGCCCTGCACCCACATGGGAGACCAGGAAAAGCACCTGGCTCCTGGCTTCGGATCAGCACAGCACGCCGATGGCGACAGCCATTGGAGGGTGAACCAACGGTAAAGGAAGACCTTTCTCTCTGTCTCTCTCTCTCTCACTGTCCACTCTGCCTATCAAAAAATTTTGTAAATATGACATGTGATCTGTCTCAAAAGAACATAATGGACAGAAGAGAAAAGCAGCACAGTATTAAATAGATATTGAATGAAAGAATCAGAACACTGTTTTCTTCAGTCAGAAAGAACAGTAGAATGCAAAACCTGAAACCTGATTGTGCATCAGAAGTTGCTGAAAAATGTATGGTTGGATGGCGCTGTGGCTCAATATGGTAATCCTCCGCTTGCGGCACTTGCACCCCAGGTTCTAGTCCCGGTTGGGGCACCAGATTTTGTCCCGGTTGCCCCTCTTCCAGGCCAGCTCTCTGCTATGGCCCGGGAGTGCAGTGGAGGATGGCCCAAGTGCTTGGCCCTGCACCCACATGGGAGACCAGGAAAAACACCTGGCTCCTGGCTTCAGATCAGCGTGGTGCGCCAGCCGTAGCGCACTGGCTGCGGTGGCTATTGGAGGGTGAACCAACAGCAAAAAAAAAGGAAGACCTTTCTCTCTGTCTCTCTCTCTCTCTCTCACTGTCCACTCTGTGGGGAGCAACTGGGAGCAACTCGGACTAGACTGTTACTGGAATTAAGACTTATTCTATGCATCTGCTCTCCCACAATATGGCGCTGGGAGAGGAGGAAACAGCTTCTACACAGCTGCCTCCAGTTCAACCAATAAACAGCAGGACCTGCTCCTGATTGGAGGAGAGCAGCGTACTCGGCGTGTGGGCAGCCGAGTTGGGATTGGCGGAGGAGGACTATAAAGGAGGAGAGAGACGGCATGCACCAGGAACATCTAAGGGGAACATCTATCTGAAGGAACACCTGTGCAGCCCCCGAGAGAGCCGGCTGGCAGTGTGCCGCTCCCCCGCGGAAGTGGGGAAAGTGGCAGGGGGAACCGCCCTTCCACGGAGGTGGAGGGACTGCAGCCAACCCGGGAAGAACCAGCAGCAAACCCGGGGAGGGCCGAGCAGACAAAAGAACAGCGCAGGGTCCTGTGTCGTTCCTCCACGAAGACGGGGAATGACATAATGGTGCCGTGACTCGGATATGAAGCCTAGGCAGGGTTTAGTGTCGTTCCTCCACGAAGAGGTGGAGTGACATAATGGTGCCGTGACTCGGATGAGAAACCTAGGAGGGAAGAAGTGGGAAGAAGTGGGAAAATACCAGAGAGAGAGACTAGCAAAGAGCCTAGGGAAAAGCCGGACAGAAAAGGTGCCGGAAGAAGCTATTGAAAGCCTAGGCATAGACTCGGATACGGACTGTGGGAAAGAAGTTAGGATTGAAAGCTAGGATTTAAAGTGAAAGCAAGAAGAAACTTAGACTCAGATACAGACTGCAGGTCGAAAGCGAAAGTGAAACCTAGAAGAAACTTGGACTTGGATGCGGACTGTGGCGAGAGGCCAGGAGAAATGAGAGGGGAATACTGTTGGAAGAAAAGTTAGGAAACATACCGGGTAGAAAAAAATGTTAGGGAGGATGAAGCCGCGTGGGCAGGCTGAGGCGGAGACGGAAGCCAGCTTGGGATTCGTCAAGTCAGCCCGGGGAGCAAAAGGTGAAAAGCTAGACGCGTAAGCTAGGTTGGAATCCATCAGATTATCCCGGGGAGCAAAAGACGGGAAGCCAAACCGTAAGGCGGAAACGTAGGTTAGGTTGAATTCGCCAGGTTAGCCTGGGGAACTTAGACTGAATACCGGTGATGGAAACGTGAGCTAGGCTGTGTGATTCGCGGAAGCTGCCGTGCGCAGAGAGAGCGCGTGGGGCACAAGTGGGGAGAGCGCAGGGGGCGCGAATAGATAGGAGAAATAGGGCTAGTGCGAAGGCCGTGGTGCGGGCGCGAAGGGGCGCGGAGACCGCAGAGTGCGCACAAAGCCAGTAAGCTGCGCAGAGCCGGTAAGCCGCTGCGGGGTGAGGCGCCGAGAAGCAGCCTCGGGGCGGGCGCCAGGAAGCCGCGGGGATAAGAAACAGAAGTTTAGAAGTAAAATGAGAGAAATAGGAATGCTGGCAGATAGAAGTAAAATAGGAGAAATAGGAATGCCCGGAGATAGAGAAATAGAGAAAAATAAGGCCTCCCCACAACATGGCAATGAGAGAGCTTGGATTCGGTCTGCCTGATTAGTGAGGTGATGAGCACCTGCGGGCAGCTAGCAGCTTATCCGCTGCAGGTCACCGAAGACAGGCACGTTATCAACACCAATAAGTCTCCCCACAATACGGCAATGAGAAGGCTCGGATTCGGTCTGCCTGATTAGGGAGGTGGTGAGCACCTGTGGGCGGCTAGCAGCTTTTGCGCCGCAGGTCACCGAAGACAGGCACGAATTAACATCAATAAGTCTCCCCACAATACCGCAATGAGAAGGCTTGGATTCGGTCTGCCTGATTAGTAAGACGATAAGTACCTGTTGGCGGCTAGCAGCTTACCCGCTGCAGGTCACCGAAGACAGGCACATCATCAACACCAATAAGTCTCCCCACAATACAGCAATGAGAAGGCTTGAATTCGGTTTGCCTGATTGGTAGGGCTTGTAAGCACCTGCAGGCAGTTCTAGCAGAGCAGAGCATGCGTTGCAGGGCACCGAACACAGGCATGCATCAGCGCCTAAAAACCTCCTCACAACATGACGAAGAGAGGACCCGGATTCGGTTTTCCTGATTGATAGGGCTTGTAAGCACCTGTGGGCAACTCTAGCAAGCAGAGCAGAGTGTGTGCCACAGGGCACCGAAGACAGGCGCGTATCAACGCCAAAAATAAAAAGAAAGGGGGATCTGTGGGGAGCAACTGGGAGCAACTCGGACTAGACTGTTACTGGAATTAAGACTTATTCTATGCATCTGCTCTCCCACAATATGGCGCTGGGAGAGGAGGAAACAGCTTCTACACAGCTGCCTCCAGTTCAACCAATAAACAGCAGGACCTGCTCCTGATTGGAGGAGAGCAGCGTACTTGGCGTGTGGGTAGCAGAGTTAGGATTGGTGGAAGAGGACTATAAAGGAGGAGAGAGATGACATGCACCAGGAACATCTATCTGAAGGAACACCTGTGCAGCCCCCGAGAGAGCCGGCTGGCGGTGTGCCGCTCCCCCGCGGAAGTGGGGAAAGTGGCAGGGGGAACCGCCCTTCCACGGAGGTGGAGGGACGGCAGCCAACCCGGGAAGAACCAGCAGCAAACCCGGGGAGGGCCGAGCAGACAAAAGAACAGCTCAGGGTCCTGTGTCATTCCTCCACGAAGACGGGGAACGACACACTCTGCCTGTCAAAAAAAAAAATGTATGGCTAGGGCTAAGAGGAGAGAGAATGTGCCAGACCCTATACATTTGTCTATACAAACCTTTCCAAACTTCCATCCATCCATCAATTACTGTCTGTTTTCTTTCTACCAGTTACTAACACAGTGTTTGTTACATTCACAGTTACACACAGCAAGTGATTACCCTCTCTGTTTGTTATTTTCAGGAAAACGGATGTGTGTGGGAGAGGGCCTGGCCCGCATGGAGCTGTTTTTGTTCCTGACCTCCATTTTGCAGAACTTTAAACTGCAATCTCTGGTTGAGCCAAAGGACCTGGACATCACTGCAGTTGTCAATGGATTTGTTTCTGTGCCACCTTCCTACCAGCTCTGCTTCATTCCTATTTGAAAGAGAACAAACTCTCTGCCTCTGTGCTGTTGTCTGCAACTCCTTCTCTTCAGAGGCATTGTCTATCCCTTCCTCTATCAGAGACACCCTCCATGACTTCTCTCACATCTTACTATTCCATCAGATCCACCAGATCCAGTGAACACACAACCACAATTAAAGGAGTTTAGTGGGATCTTATCGCAGGGATATCTGCTGTTTCCTACATTCTGCAACACCTATGCTGAATTCCACATTTGATAATTCATATCAATGCTGCTTTACCGAGTCTTATCACTATAAAACAGAAATAAATATTAAAATATGACAATTTAGACCCATACTTCAGTCTCCGTGTTATAAATAAAAAGAAAATAATAATCCTAGTGTCAGTTCTCTGTATTCTCTTCGATTGTGCATCAAGCAGATAAGAAATAAAAGAAAACGGAGTCCCAATATGTCACACCAGTGTTCATAATGACAAGCAGATAGAGGGATGAAAGGGAAGATGGTAGAAAGCAGTCTTGTCTCAATGTCAACTAGAATTATTGGATTTGTAGTTTCAGAAGAGAGAAACAAAGCTTTTAAAGATTTATTTATTTATTTATTTGAAAGTCAGAGTTATAGAGATGGGGGAGAGAGAGAATAGGAGGGTGGAGGGAGAAGTAGCGGGACGGAAAGAGAGCAAGAGCAAGAGCGAGAGGGATAGAGAGAGAGAGAGAGAGAGAGAGAGAGAGAGAGATCGTTCTTCCACTAAATGGTTTCTTTACAAAAAGCTGTAATGGCTAGGGCTTAGCCAGAAAAGTTAGGAGCTTCATGACCTAAAACTCTATCAAATAATTCATCTTCTAATATCATCTCATTGGAAGTTATGATTTCGTTTCTTTCTATTTATTTATTTATTTTAAAGTCAAGCTACAGAGAAGGAAAGATCGATCTTCCCATCAGCTGGTTCACTCCCTAGATGGCTACCTTGGCCTGCACTTGGGCAGGCAGAAGCCCGGAGCTAGGAACTTCTTCTAGGTCTCTTATGTGGGTAGCATGGGCCTATTACTGGTCCATTTTGGGTGCTTTCCTCAGGCCATTAGCAGGCAGATGGACTGGAAGTAGAGCAGCCAGGCCTTGAACAGGCACCAGTATGGGAAGTCTGCATTGCAGGAGGCAGCTTTACCTGCTCTGCCAAAGGCTGGCTCCAAGAAGTCCTAACTGAGCAAGTTTTTGTTCATTTCTCATATCAATATCATTGAGTACAATGAACTGAGGATGAAAACTGACATTTCACTATAAACTTATATGCTCTCCTTTTATTAATGTGCGTTTGGACATGAAACACGGGCACCTCTCCCTCCATTTTTTTAAACAGATGGTTCTTCAGGAATTTTCTGAATATGGAACTTTGACTTTTCATTTCTTTAACAGTTTCTGTAGCTAACTTTCCCCTCTTGGAATCCACATTACCTCTGCTCCTCAAGAGACAGAGCAAGACAAAGTCTTAATCTAGAAAACAAATTCCTCACTTTACATTTAGAAGGTAATCATAAAGAAAAACCCTTTTAATCCCCTAACCCTATCCTATTCATGGATAGTCTGGTTTGATACAAGTCTATAACTCAATTTCTTTTTTCTCAAAAAACATTTATGAAACTTTGTAAGAATAACCGTTTTAAACAATTGACAAAGAGAAACAACAGTACCAGCCATGTGACTACTACAGGCCCATGCACTCAAGTGTCCAGAATCAAGGCTGAGGCTCAGTGTCACCCTGCAGGGGTTCCACCAACCAGCTCCACAGGCACTGGCTTAATCTTTCCTTACTTCCTCTTATACTGTCCTTATTCTGGCCTGAGCTCCCACATATTTTTGTGGATCTCTTTTACATTCTGAATACCAACTTCTCTCAAGGTTTCCTTCAGGTAACCCACAGGCTGTTTTGTGATGTCCACCAGGTCCCTCAGGTTGGAATACTAGTGCTTCTCAAAGGCTGAAAACAGCCTGGCTAAAACTTGCTGTCATCAGCTCGGGCTCATTTTCCATCTTGTTTCTCCTTTCATAGTCAATGTTGTATTGATGATTAGCAACAGGTTTGTAATTGGTTGTTACAACTGTACCCAGTTGTTGGGTTGGTCTTACTGCTTTGGGGGAGTCCTCTGTTTGCCATCTCTTCAATCTCATGTAATTCTCACTGGCCACATGTTGGCACTCAGCTCTTTATTCCAGCTGCTTCCTGAGACAGCCTCTACAAGGAGCTCTCAGTAAATACTGTTTACCATCCAGCAGTTTCCAGACACATGGATGATCTTGAGGAGCACTGACTACATCTGGTTTCACACCAGAATCATGAATATTTGAGAGATCTTCATCCAAAGAAAAGGACACCACAGTCCTTCCTTGATTCTTGACAATCCACAGTTTATCAACTTCACCTCTTTCAGGAGTTTAGCCCATTGCTGTGGCAAATATTTAGAAACCTTGACCAGACACACTCCAGTGTACTGTTTGCGCCAGTCACATGGAGTTCCCCGTACTTGGCCATGAGTCTTTTGGGGGTGGAAGTGAGTGAACTGGAGCAGCGGCCTCAGGACCTTGGGTGCTGTGGAGCAATTATCCTGAGCAAAAGGCTAGCGTGGTGGAAGCTGGACTGCAAGCAGGTGTTGCTGATCACCTGCCAAGATAATAGGAAACCTGGAACTGAGGAACACTGGAGGTTTCCATATTAAAATATGAATTGTGGGGGGGGAGGACCGTAGTGTAGAAAACCACTAGTTCTTAAATTTGTGTGTATGAAATGCATGAAGTTTTTATTCCTTATATTAAAGTATATTGGTAAAAATAGACAAATAAATTCTGGAACATAATAGACAGAAATAAATCCAGACAAATATATTCAATAATTTTTGAAAAAGAGCAAAGGCAGCTCTAAGTAGAAAGTATAGTGATTTGTGGGCAGAGGCCTCAGAGCAGTGGGTGGGGTAGGGGTAGTTGTGAGAGATGAATAAACAGAGAACAGAGGGTTTTGGGGTAGTGAATTTATTCTGTACGATACCACAATTGTGCACATATCTCAATAACATTGGTCAATTTGATAGAATTAACAAGGCAGGAATGAATGTTATGTAAAATATGAACTCCTGGTGATGTTGGTTCAATGTATGGAAGAAAGCTTACACATGAGAGTTTTTAATTGTAGGAAAGTCTGAGTGTGCGTGTGGAGTGGACATAGTTTTTCTGTGTAACTTAAGCTGTATTGTGGAAATAAATTCTAGAAATGGACAACAAAATTCTTATTCTAACTGACAGTTCTAGGGAAGCTGAGTTTGTATTATTCTACTATTGTTGTGGTTTAACAGTGTTCATCTCCTGAATATTTGAACTGAGATCAGAATTCCGTACGATGGGATGTGAGAATTCACTGAACTGAAGGATGGAAAACTTGGATTCTAAGACAAGTTATTTATTTATTTATATATTTATTTATTTATTCATTTTATATTTGACAGGTAGAGTTCCACACAGTGAGAGAGAGAGACAGAGAGAAAGGTCTTCCTTCCGTTGGTTCACTCCCCAAATGGCCGTTATAGCTGTAGCTGCACTGATCTGAAGCCAGGTGCCGGGTGCTTCCTCCTGATCTCCTATGCGGGTGCAGGGCTCAAGCACTTGAGCCATCCTCCACTGCACTCCCTGGCCACAGCAGAGAGCTGGACTGGAAGAGGAGCAACTGGGGTTAGAACCCGGTGCCCATTGGGGTGCCGGTGCCGCAGGTGGAGGATTAAACAAGAGAGCCATGGCGCCGGCCCCAACAAGTTCTTTTATTGCTGTATTGGTGACACTATATTTCACTGAGGTACCAATTGCTCATCCTTAAACATCAAAACAAATTTGGATTAGCTGATCTCAGAGATCCCTTTTATCTTATGATTATATGACCGTGGGGCTAGTGTTTCGTGGAATACTTAATATGCCATTTGGGATTACTGCATTTTCTAACAGGACCTGAGTTTGAGTCTCAGTGATGCTCTCCATTCCATGTTAATGATAATGCACACCCTGACAGACAGCAGGGAATGACTCATGTTCTTGGGGCCATGCTACGTATGTGCTTGGCTTGCATTGAGTTTCTGGCACTCAGTTTTAGTCTGACCAAGCACCAGTCATTGTGGGGCTTAGAGGAGTGAAACTGCGGATGGGAGGTCCCTCTGTCTCATCTTTCTTTCCCTGTCCATCTCTCTACTTTGTTTTCTTATTTTTTTTTTCAATTAATTAATTAATTAATTTTTTTTTGTCATATGCGTTTTTTAAACTTTTATTTAATGAATATAAATTTCCAAAGTACAGCCTATGGATTACAATGGCTTCCCCCCCATAACGTCCCTCCCACCCGCAACCCTCCCCTTTTCCACTCCCTCTCCCCTTCCATTCACATCAAGATTCATTTTCAATTCTCTTTATATACAGAAGATCAGTTTAGCATACATTAAGTAAAGATTTCAACAGTTTTCTCCCACACAGAAACATAAAGTGAAAAATACTGTTTGAGTACTAGTTACAGCATTAAATCACAATGTACAGCACACTAAGGACAAAGATCCTACATGAGGAGTAAGTGCGCAGTGACTCCTGTTGTTGACTTAACAAATCGACAGTCTTGTTTATGGCATCAGTAATCACCCTAGGCTCTTGTCATGAGCTGCCAAGGCTATGGAAGTCCCTTGAGTTCATTGACTCTGATCTTATTTAGACAAGGCCATGGTCAAAGTGGAGGTTCTCTCCTCCCTTCAGAGAAGGGTATTTTTTTTTTTTTTGCCAGAGTGTCTTGGCTTTCCATGCCTGAAATACTCTCATGGGCTTTTCAGCCTGATCCGCATGCCTCAAGGGCTGATTCTGAGGCCAGAGTGCTGTTTAGGACATCTGCCATTCTATGGGTCTGCTGTGTATCTCGCTTCCCATGTTGGATCGTTCTCTCCCTTTTTTATTCTATCAGCTAGTATTTGCAGACACTAGTCTTGTTTATGTGATCCCTTTGGTTCTTAGTCCTATCATTATGATCAATTGTGAACAGAAATTGATCACTTGGAATAGTGAGATGGCATTGGTACATGCCACCTCGATGGGATTGAATTGGAATCCCCTGGTATGTTTCTAACTCTACCATTTGAGGTAAGTCAGCTTGAGCATGTCCTGAATTGCACATCTCTTCCCACTCTTATTCCCACTCTTATATTTAACAGCGATCACTTTTCAGTTAAGTTTCAGCACTTAAGAATAATTGTGTATTGATTACAGTATTCAACCCAAAAGTATTAAGTAGAGCAAACAAAAAAAATACTAAGAGGGATAACATATTAAGTTGTTCATCAACAGTCAGGCTGAGGACTGATCAAGTCACCAT